TGTGTGTGTGTCTGTGTCTGTGTGTGTGTGTGTGTCTGTGTGAGTGTTATGTGTGTGTGTGTGTGTGAGTGTGTTATGTGTGTGTGTCTGTGTCTGTGTGTGTGTGTGTGTCTGTGTGAGAGAGTGTGTGTCAGTTTGCTCTACTACACACTCTGAAACACGTGTGACGCTTGTCTGCGTCTCACTACACATCAACACACCAACTTCATCTGAGAGTCACTTCAGCAGCATTTCACCATTTACTTTGAGAAACACTATCAGAATACACAGAAACACAAAGAACTGCACTACAACCCGCCAAAATAAAAGTTCTGAAACTATGACGGCAATATATTACTATTGTACAGTAGAATATACTTTTCAAAGTGTTAATTCTACTACTACTATTAATAATACAATTATTACAACTTCATTTTTTAAAGAAATAATCACAATTTTTCATTCATGTTTTAATTTTGACAGTAAACCTCTGCTGCGCAGCAATTTATTTGCCCCAAAAAATGAAATGGTTGGTTTAATTTTTATTTGATTAAAAGTTTCATCAAACGGTTAAAATTGAATTAAACCATTAAAATGTAAAATGAAAAAAATTAAAACAGAATTTGGTAAAAAATAAAACTGAATTTGAGAAACAATTACAATGTATTTCTTATGGCTGTAAAAAAAAATTTTTTGCTGAACTTTTAAAATTGTAGTTAAATTGTATGTTTAATGATTTCAATAATTAGACTTGCTTTTTCATTATTACAAATTAATGAAACCATTAAAATGGAGTCCAGAAAAATTAAAACGGGAAACAGAATTTGCTAAAAAAATAAAACCGAATTTAAGGAAAAATAAAGTGTATTTCATAGAGCCCTAAATATTTAATTTCTTTGTTAAACTTTTAATAAATTGTAGTTAAATTGTATATTTTTTATGATTACAATTAATTAGACTTGCATTCTGATTATTAAAATTTTATTAATCCATTATAATGGAGTCCAGAAAAATTAAAACTGGAAACAATAAAAAATGAAAAGGTAAAAATAAAGTGGAATTTAAGAGAGAAAAAAAAAAAAGTATTTCAGAGGGCCCTAAATATTGAATATTTGCTAAACTAAACTAAATATTTGAATATTTATATATTGATATTTATAATACTTCTATTAAATATTTGGCAAAAATATTTGTCTTTTAATAAATTGTTAAATTCAATAAGTTTCATGATTTTAATTAATTAGACATGCTTTTAGTCTACAAAAATGTAATTTTACCATTAAAAAGTAATAAAAAAAAAAACAGAATGCAGAAAAATTCTAACTAAAAAAAAAGAGCGAATTTGGAAAAAAATAACAATTAACAGACGTTCTGGATGAGCACCTGATGAAGTTTAGTTTCCTCACTACGGTCACCTTTGGCTTGCTCAGCTCGGTTTAAAAGACAATCTTCAGTTTTATCACTGATTTGACGGCACTGACACCATCAGGTGACAACGTGAACTGAACTGATCTGAATAATGACTCTGGAGCTGCTTTAAGTTTGTCACACTGCTAAAACTATCCTCCTCCCTAGTATTTCTGTCTTGTGTTCTAGTATAAATATCTAAACATTCTTGAATCAAGATGCATTTACTGTACAAGTAAAATTACTTAAGATATTATGTCTTGTTTTCTGTAAAAAATATCAACATTTTGTTTAAAACAAGCAAAATGTTAATGCATCTTGATTCAAGAATGATTAGATATTTATACTAGAACACAAGACAGAAATACTGAGTAAGAGGATAATGTCTTGCAGCGCACAGAGGAGAAGCGTGAGAGGAGCACCTGTATGATGTCCAGGTCTTTGCTCTTGACGCGGCCGAGCGTCTGTTTGGAGCTGCTGATGAGCGGCGAGGCGCTCGGTGGTTTGGTCAGCGGGCCGCAGTCGCTGGAGGAGTCCACCACCATGGGCTCGATCTCTGCCTCCATCATGGAGATCTTCAGGATGTCGGAGGTCTTCTCTGGCGCTGTGTGACTGGAGCTGGACTCCGGCTGGAGCTTGACGGACGCCTCGCCGCTGCTGGACACCGGGGGGCACTGATGAGCGCCGAACGTGATCTTCGTGACGGCTGCGCCCTGCGTGATGATCGGCTGCTGCAGCTGAGACACACACAGAGAACCGTCACTGATCCACACAAACATAACTATCGATTCGGAGAGCTCCGAATGCATTGCCATTCTCTCTGGAATCAGTTCTGGGCTTAGTTTTTAACAGGCTGCACTGCAAAAAAATTATTTTCTTACTTAGTATTTTTGTCTTGTTTTCTAGTATAAATTAAAGCAATAAGCCCCAAGAAGCCGTGGTTTACAGTGAATTTATAACAGCTAAGGGGCGTTTATTAATGTTTTCATAAAAAACGTATTCTTCCACCTAGTGTTGTCAAAAGACCCGGTATTTCGGTACCAAGTTGGTACTAAAAAAATGTTTCCATCTATTTGATATACACTTAATATATGTAATCTTATCTAAATTTATTATAATAGCTGAGGTTTGTTATTTACTGAAAGGTTATATTTTATAGCGGCTCAGCCAATCAGAATCAAGCACTGGAACTATCTGTTTTATAAATCTAAACATTCTTGAATCAAGATGCATTTACTTGACTAGTAAAATTATTTAAGGTATTAAGTCTTGTTTTCTGTAAAAACTATTTTGTTAGTTTTTCCTTAAAACAAGCAATACTTTGGTATTTCTCAATGGTAGTGTAAAACAACACCCTTTTTACCCTGTCAAAAAAGCTCTGCTCACAGCGAGCCGTTTTGGTGCATGTCCCTTTAAATGCTAATGAGCTCTGCTGCCCCCGCCCCTCTCTTCTGTGGGGTGATGAACCGTTCTCATGAGACTGTTTACTTTAGCTGCGGAACTTGCTAACTAGCACATTATTAGGAAGGTGATTTTCAAAGATTCATAAAAGAAACTTACACTCACTTCTACTGTAGTTGAAGCTGGATCACGAATTATTCGCGCGAACATAAACGCATTTATGTAGATCGGGGGCGCATTCCCTTCAGAAACAAAACAAACGTACTCCACTGCGTCTTCAGCGGCTCAGATGTCGGGAGTAAATGACGACTGCTATGTTCATTATTACATCCAACAACAGAACACCTCAATCGCTCAGGAGTCATTCTTGTCTACATCTGCTCCGGCGGTGAAACAATGGCGGACTGATGACAGCTCACTCAGGGCGGAGCTAAGGTAAGACACCAGCGTCAATCAACTATCGTGGGAGGGGCCTGTCTGTGTGACATCACACAGACAAGAATCTGAGAACGGCTTGATATGAGAAAGGGGAATGATTTAACGAGATTAAAAAAAAAACACTGGGTGGATTTTTATCATTATAGGGTGGTTGTGTACACACACTGCCAACACACATTTCAGTT